AAACAATACAATGCCTGGGGGCATTAAGTTCCTGGAAAAGGCCTGCCCACAGAAACCACCCTGACCTCGACCTTGTCCAAAGACTAACCACCTCTTCTGCCAAGCACAGATCAGTTTCTGGGGTCAGGGGAGAACCAGCCAGGGTAGAGGAGAGAGCAGAAGCCTCTCTGGTGGGAGCCTTTCTTAGGAAGTTTTCTTGAACCTTTTTGGGGCCTGCTTAAAGTTTTCTTTACACCGTTGAACAAGTCTCTGTGTTGTCAATCCCCGACACCCTCCGCACGTTCTCGGACACAGGCCGCGCAGCAGACGCGACAGAGTATTACTCAGCAGAAAAAAACAATGGAATCTTGAAATTCGCAGGGAAATGGATAGCACTGGAAGAAACCATCATGAGTGAGGTAACCCAGTCACAAAAAGACAAACATGGTATGTACTCACTCATATATGGATTTTAGATATGGATCAGGATAGTGCCAGTCTGCACTTCCACAGATAGAGAGTCTGGGAAACAGGAAAGAACCTAAAAGTTATGCATATATGCATAGTACCCAAGAGAAGAGGATGGAGACAAGATCCTCTGAATGGATGGGGAACACGGCGAGGGTTGGGGGGAAGTGGGACCTGGGAAGAATAGAGGGGGTAAAGAGGAAGGGAGTTGGTCATGGGGGAACAGGAAGTTGAGGGGGTGGGGGTAGAATAGGGGGAAGAGGGAATCATAGGATTGAAGACAGATCAGGCACCAGAGTAACCTCGAGTGATCTAAAGGTATAACATCAATTGGCAAGCTAAGCAATAGTGGAGGGATCACCTCGAATGCCCATTCCTGATAATGAACTTGATGTCTATAACCATCCGGGAGCCTTCATCCTGTGACTGATGGAAGCAGAGGCAAACACACAACTAATCACTGAACTGAACCCAAGGAACCCAGTGACAGAGAGAGAGGAGTGATGAGCAAATTGGCAAAGAATGGGCTGGCAAAACCAGCAGAGACAGCTGATCTGAACAGGGGAGTGCTCTTGGACCCCAGACCGACAGTGGGGAGGCCAGCATGGGACTGATCTGGAACCCCCAAATGTGAGTGTCAGTGAGAAGGCCTGGGCAACCTATGGGGCCCTGAGCTGTGGATCAGTGTCTATCCCTGGTATACAAACTGTCTTCATGTGCCTATAGCACAAAGAGAGATGCTCTCTCAGCCTGGACTCTTAGGGGAGTGCCTTGACCCTACCAAGAGTAAAATGACAGACTCTAGATATCCCTTATGTGGAAGGATTTGGCAATAGGGTGGGAGGGAGGGGGGAAGGGGAGTGAGGGAAGAGGGGAGGGAGAGGGAACTGGGATTGACATGTAAAACAACTATTTAAAATTAAAATAAAAAATGATAAAAAATAGTAACTAAAAAAAACATAATATAAGCTATACACAGTAAACCAAAAGCCAACATCAAACTAAATGATCAGAAACTCAATGTAATTCCTCTAAAATCAGGAACAAAACAAGGCTGTCCACTCTCTCCATGCCTTTTCAACATGGTACTTGAAGTTCTAGCTATTGCCATACGACAACAAAGGGGGATCAAGGGGATACAAATTGGGAAGGAAGAGGTCAATTTTCATTGTTTGCAGACGATATGATAGTTTACATCAATGACCCAAAGAACTCTACCAGGGAAGTCTTACAGCAGATTAACACCTTCAGCAAAGTGGCAGGCTACAAGATCAACTCAAGAAATTCAGTAGCCCTACTATATACACATGATAAAAGGGCTGAAAAAGAAATCAGAGAAACATCACCCTTTACAATTGCCACAAACAACATAAAATACCTTGGGATAACCCTAACCAAATATGTGAAAGACCTGTATCGCAAGAACTTCAAATCTTTAAAGAAAGAAATTAAAGAAGCCCTCAGAAAATGGAAAGATCTCCCATGCTCTTGGATAGGTAGGATCAATGTAGTAAAAATGGCAATCCTGCCAAAAGCAATCTACAGATTCAATGCAATCCCCATTAAAATCCCAGCACAATTCTTCACAGACCTTGAAAGAACAATAATCAATTTTGTATGGAAAAACAAAAGACCCAGGATAGCCAAAACAACCCTGTTCAACAAGGCAACGTCCGGAGGCATCACCATCCCTGACCTCAAGCTCTATTATAGAGCTATAGTCCTGAAAACAGCTTGGTATTGGCACAAAAATAGACAGGTAGACCAATGGAATCGAATTGAAAACACGGGTATTAACCCACACACGTACGAACATCTGATCTTTGACAAAGAAGCTAAAAATATACAATGGAATAAAGAAAACATCTTCAACAAAGGGCGCTGGCATAACTGGAGACTGGCATGTAGAAGAATGCGGATTGATCCATGTTTATCGCCATGCACAAAACTTAAGTCCAAATGGATCAAAGACCTCAACATAAATCCAGCCACACTGAACCTCTTAGAAGAGAAAGTGGGTGGTACCCTTGAATGAATTGGTACAGGAGACAGCTTCCTGAACATAACACAGACAGTGAGATCAACAATTAATAAAAGGGACCTACTGAAACTGAGAAGCTTCTGTAAGGCAAAGGACATAGTCAGCAAGACAAAAAGGCAGCCCACAGGATGGGAAAAATATTCACTAATCCCACATCTGACAGAGGGTTGATCTCCAAAATTTACAAAGAACTCAAGAAGCAAGTCTCCAAAACATCAAGGGACCCAATTAAAAAGTGGGCTGCAGAACTAAATAGAGAGTTTTCAATAGAGGAGTCTAAAATGGCTGAGAGGCACTTGAGAAAGTGCTCAACATCCTTAGCCATCCGGGAAATGCAAATCAAAACAACTCTGAGATACCATCTCACTCCTGACAGAATGGCTAAAATCAAAAACACCAATGACAATTTATGCTGGAGAGGATGTGGTGAAAGGGGGACACTCCTCTATTGCTGGTGGGAGTGTCAACTGGTTCAGCCACTTTGGAAATCAGTATGGAGATTCCTCAGAAAAATGGGAATAAACCTACCACAAGACCCAGCAACTCCACTCTTAGGCATATATCCAAAATATGCCCATTCATACAACAAAGATGTCTGTTCCACTATGTTCATAGCAGCTTTATTTGTTATAGCCAGAACTTGGAAGCAACCTAGATTCCCCTCAACTGAAGAGTGGATAGAGAAAATGTGGTACATCTACACAATGGAGTACTATTCAGCAGAAAAAAATAATGGAATCCTGAGATTCGTAGGCAAATGGATGACACTAGAAGAAACCATCCTGAGTTAGGTAACCCAGTCACAAAAAGAGAAACATGGCATGTACTCTGTCATATATGGATTTTAGACATAGATTTGGGGAGTGCCAGCCTACAATCCTATGGCCAGAGAGTCTGGGAAACAGAAACTTCATTTAGTGGCTGATTGAAGAAGTGGCAGACTTCCTTGGTTAAGTAATCAGCTGAACTCAAGAAAGCCAGTAACAGAGAGGGAGGACTGATGATCAAAGAGATTAAGTCTGGGCTGGTTTAACCCCCAGAAACAGCTGACCAGACAAAGGTTAACTCTTGAATCCCAGTTATCAGCCTGGGAATCCAGTATGGGACTGATCAAGACACCCTGAATCTGGGTGTCAGTGAGGAGGCCTAGGTAATCTATTGAGCCTTGGGCAGCAGATCAGTACCCATCCCAAGTATACACACGGACTTTGGACTCCCATAGAACAATGTGAGGTGCACTCTCACCCTGAACTATATGAAATGACAGACTATGGACACCCCCATGGAGGGCCTCACCCTCCCTGGGGGAATGAGGGGATAACGGGGGGAGGGTTGGGGGGAGGGCCCGGGAGGAGGGGAGGGAAAGGGAGAGGGACCTGGAACTGATTTGTGAAGCAACCTTGTTTCTTATCTAAATTTAAACTGGAAAATAAAATAAAATAAAAAAATTATGAAAACATGGAGCACAGAATCAATTAATGAGAGCTTATAGGGGACCGTACAGGCTGATATGATAATCATTGACCCTGTATGTGTCTGAGCTAGATACCCTGCATATAAGTTATGGTAATGTACCCGGGTATTATTGTCGAACTTCTAACAGTGGGAAAGGGTGAGAGCTCTGATTATTGTGCCTGTCCTTAGGACACTTTTCTTCCTACTGGATTTCCTCACCTAGCCATAATATGAGAGGTGTGTCAAGTCTAATATGACTCATCATGCCATGTGTGGTTAATATCCCTGGGAGGCCTCCTCATTATTGAAGGAAAATAGAAGACTGCATCTGAGAGAGGGGGAGTTGTAAGTTTATAGAAAACTGGAGGGAGGGTAAACTGTGGTGGGATATAATATGTAAAAGGAGAATTGGAGAGGAAAGAAATACATATTTAAAAATAACCCTGTGCAAGGTCCCATTGTGAGTGCCTCTCTCAGGATGATCTGCCCTTATGTGAAGGATGTTATATTTATACATCAAACAAACTGCAGATCAAAATTATTTAGCAACCAGCTCGGTCTGCAGTGAAACATGGGCAGACTGTTCCTCACTTCACATGGATGACTAGTGTGCAATCAGAATTGGACTTATTTAAGTTAGTGAATTAGTTAAGCACTGAATATATATGACCATGTGAAAGGATGTTTTTCTCTATGCAAATACTCCACCATTTTTACAGCAGACCCAGAGCATCCAAAAGTTTGGCAGTGTCTGAAATTAGACATCATGAATTCTGATGATTGGCTATGTTTGATCCATAACCTAAGCACTTAAATCATTTTCATTTCCCTTTAACATATTGGCATCTTTATTTTACTTTGGAGTCAATCTCACTTTAAATCTTGGTCTTCCCTTGTACACATGTGTATCCCAGAATTATACACATGGGTCAGCATGCAGGCAATACCTGAGTGATAACTGATCAATTTCACCATATGTCATTTCTCTGCTTAATACAACACTGATAGAGAAATGCCAGCATTCTACTATAGGTTGAGAGTAGAGGTCACTCACTCATCACTGAAACCAGATTGGGAGACTGGTCTGTAAACTGACACGGTTGGAGACCTTACACCTATACTCCCCAACATTCTCCAACCATAAAGGGTATATCCTCAGTCCACACTTTGTTGGGGACAAAATCATCCTCTTTGAGACATGCAGGCACCAGTTATTAAAGATCTAACAGATGGAGATATCAGTATCAGGTGATACACAGGTGAAGATCACAGATCTGTGTGATGAGACTATGCTGTTAGTGATTGATCCAAGGGGCTTTGTGACTTGAGGCTATGTGCATGGGGAGAACCACAAGAGTTAGCACTGAAGCTGACATACTATGATGAGTTATCCAGAAGTAGCTGCTTCTGGTTTTCCTTTGTTTGGGTAAAGAAAGGTGAGAGATATTGACCTATACTTGAATATCTCACCAATGTGTGTCCTGCAGTAAGCGCCCAAATCCTATTGTAGGGACACAATGCAGTATACAGTGAGTTCTGACAGTTCAGTGTATGAGGTAGGAAAAGTCACTTCCAGCTGCTGGAGGACATAGAGAGTCATTTACTGTTTACATGGAATTGCACATATAATTTTTCAATTTGAAATCACGTTTCAAAATTTCTAGTTTGTACATTCCTGCATCTTCCTCAGTGATGTCCTGAAGCAGGAGGGATTCATTGCATACACAGTCTCTCTTTGTCTATATTGATCACCCCAGATGATGTTATGTGCTTCTCTGCTATGTTCAACTATTTCAAAATATGAAACACTACATACTGCCCTGTACCAAGTAAAGGGTTGGAAATCTTCTGGAAGATTATGAACTTGGAGAAGAACACTTTCCTCTTCAGCAGCATACTGAGGCTCTGGTTGGATGACAATTTAGGAAGAGGTGAGAGGATTATACAATGGTGAATGGGAGGCTAGGGGGCAAAACAGAAAAAAGCCATCACATGGGGATCATTGTGCGTAATGAAAAGATGGTGACATCCTTCTTGAGAAGATGGATTTGTCACTCAGCCTAAAGCTGCAGATGTTGGTGTGTCTATGACGCAGTCTGAAGGTCAGCAACATGACCTCTTCCTTTACACCTGAGCCAGAAAAAAATTTCATTTTCACATCATGAAACCCTCCACTCATGTGTCTTCATGACTGCCCCCTTACTGCTCTCAGTCAGACATTGCACACTTACGCACAACGAGGATGCAGATGTGGCCTCCCATGAACTGAACATGACTAGGATTTCCACAGTATGTTTTTTCTTAGTTTCTTTTATGTCTCCAATCAAACCCTGGCGTCTCAGTATAGATGCTCTTGCTTCCCTGCCTGCCAGCTCTCAGGATTGGGTCTGGGTGGGATCTGAGAGCAGTATTACCTTCAGGGCAGGCTCAGGTCTTTAAAAGACTTGGATGCAGGGTGGCCAGTTTGACGTCAATGTGCCACAGGTGAGAGTCATTTTGAAAGATGCGCCTCAGTTGAAAATGCCATTACGTGATTGGCCTGCGGAAAAGACTTTAGTACATGATTTTTTTAAAATTGGGGATTGAGACCACTGCAGGCGGTTCCACCCCTGGGCAAGCAGACCTAGGTGACATAAGAGTGAAGGTTGAGAAAGCCCCAAGGAGCTAGCCAGAAGGTAGCACTCCTTCATGATACCTCTACCAGCTCCTGGAGCTAATACATGCATCATTTTGACAAGGATGACCTAAAATCATTGTTTCCTATCAGATCTGACAGGAACTAAGAGGAGAGTACTGAAAAATTCTCCTATTTGTCACTTTATTCCAGTCTTGGGAAGATGACAGGATTCTGAACTCCCTGGTCTAGAACCCCAAGAAACTGGGCTGACTCTGACATCTTAGGCTGAGTTATTTTCTATCAAGGGCTTCCTTGGTGCAGGTGGAGTGAAAAGATTGAAGATGATCTAAGAAAGAAAGAACAGCTACCTGAATTTGAGTAAATATCTTGCTATGGCCATTAACAGTGCAAGAAGGAGTATCACAGGTCAAAACAATAGTTCTCTTTTATTTATTTATTTATTTATTTTTACTTATTTTTTTATTTAAGTTAGAAACAAGCTTGTTTCACATGTCAAACCCAGCCCATAATTTTCCCTGATCATTTGAATTTAAGGATCCATGCCTCATCTCAGTCACCACCAAACACCTGGGAAAATGGGCCCAGGTTATGATCCAGTCTGTTCTTTTAGCTGAATGACAAGACCACTGCTGGTCTTATGTGTGAGATTTGTGTACAAACAAATCCTGATGTCTGTTTGTGGGTGCATCTTGGGAAACTAAATAGGAAACTTTAATCTGTCCTATCTGTAGGACTTCCTTAAACGTCATTGCCTTAGGGGCACAGACCGGGTATCAGCAGTGGCCATCAGCACAGCTAGAGGGACACAGCATTCTTTGGTGCTAGGCAGTCCATGTGTCTGTTATTTCCAGAAGTGATAATGGTCATCTGACTCCAAATCCTAGATCTGTATCATCAAGCTCTTCAGCTCAGCTCACTCACAGCAAAGAATGTTTCTCCCACACAATACAGGAGGCTTGTGATCTCTAAGAACTCAAGTCCTCTTGATCTGCATTTGATTCATCTTCTGCCTGGTTCTCTAAGGACAAGGATTGAGGGTGGATGTTAGAAAGACCAACACAGGTTGAAAGAGGACTTTGTTAGTGTCAGAGTTCCCACAGCAGTCCACCTTCTATCTTTTTCTCTCTGAAGCACTGCTACTCAAGTCCTCAATCACAAGCAATAATTCTAACCCCATTGAGCTTGAGGACAGTAGCCTTGAAGCACGTACATGAGTGTCAGAATACATCCCACATATGGGGGATAAATGGTCAAAGCCTCTCAGAAGACAACAGGCTGAAACTGTCAGAAGGCAACTGAACTCTCATTTATTCAGTGTCATAACTGACATAGGAGCCTATGAGTGTGTAATCTGGAAATTAATGACTCGCACCCAAAATGACCCATTTAGCCTGAATGTCACTTGTGAGTAATTTCTGTTTCTTCATAGCTATAACTGCCTACATACAGGGAGTTAGCGCTGGGACACTCAGGCACTCTCAGGTATTGACACACACCTACCACACAGACACCTAAACTGATCAGAGAATCCCTTTCTAGCCCAAGCATATGCAATTAGGCCTAGCATTGAGCTAGAATGGTCTGGCGGGACTTCTCCTTCCTAGAGAGACTCAGGATGATGAAGGCAGGGGACATCTAAGATTTAGGCTCAGTGCACACATAAGCATCCAGTGAGATTTTTTTTTCTGTGTTGTGCCAGGACACATCAAGGGCTTGTGTACACTATATGAGTACTAATTACTAATCTACACCCAAGCTCTGGTTGGGAATCTGCTCACCTAAGGTAATAGAATATATACTAGAGCCTTCTATACACCAGGATTTTCCCATTTCCTTTTGGGCATCACATGTGACAATATTTGGTTTTATCCAGATGGCTCAGATGATCTGATCATATATCTCTCATGCAATCATTGTATCCAGGGTCAAACCTCAACCTCTACTTCAATGTTGCCCCCAACCCACATGCATGGCACTCTTGGCTTATTGATGGAATACTCCAGGTATTCTGCCAAAAGTTCTTTATCCCCAACAACATTACTAATACTTGTAAATACTGTATCTCCCTTGTCTAGAACTCAGACATTGGACCAAAGTGAAGAAAATTACTGGTCTTTGGAAGTGAATGCCTGAAATGACAGCATGGAGCTTTGGGTGATGTCTTGGTTTTATGGATAGATACAAAAATTAACTCCCATTGTGTGTCATGGAAACAAAGAATTCCCATACATCTGATGAGATTCTAGCTGTGATTCTTTCTCCTCTTCTTGCATCTCTGAATTCTCTTGGCTCACATTTGGCTGGTATTGGAATGTGAAGGAGGGAAAAACTGCTCAGGTAGAGAGACTTTACTTAAGGTCAAGTAGATTTTTCTTTCTGTCAGTAACTTATGCATTCCTGTCCCCGAATTTGCTATCATGACTTCTATGACCCAGAAGGAACACCCAGATCTTTGGGCATGCTCATGTTCCTTTACCCCTACATGCTCCCAGATCCTGTCATGTCTCAGCTGGCGATTGGCTTCTGCTCTGATTCCAATGGAGCAGGAAGAGGCAGATGATGAATATGCCTGGGAGGCTTGTCCTGAGTCAGAATGGTGGACATCACGGTTTCCATGAGCTCAGGATCTGGGAAGTAGGAAAAATGAAACTCAGGGTAGGTGTTCTTGAGCTGTACTCTATCTAGCTCTGATTTGGCACTGGCACATGTGATAATTATGGCAAACAAAGAGGGACACTTACTTGGAGAATGGCAAACTTCCTCTGCAATCTCCCTATGGAGCAGGACTTCACGATTTGAAACAGTGTCCTAGATAGCATTAACTGCCACCCTGAATTTCCCAAAATCACCTGAGGGGGACAGGCTATAATAGTCAGAACAGGTGAGTGACACACCTGCCAGCTGAAATGCAACACTCCCTATATTCTGTCCCATACCACAGAGTAAGCTATTCCAGTTCATCAACTACACTGTTGTTGGGCCCTGTCCTATTTCCACCTGACTGCTCCTGCTCAGGCACAGGCCACATCAATCAGAAGAAGAGATGCAGGTCATATCAGTAAGAAGAACAGAGACCCCCCTGCTGCACCAAAGCAATACTAACTTCCCAAGAATGACCTCTAACCTTGACAGAAGCTTACTACTGGATCAGATTAAAGAGTTGGAAAAAGATTTTCCAGTCAAACCACCTAAGATGCAAGTTGGTGTTAGCTATCCTAATATTTAACAAAATAGACTTGAGACCTATATTAACCAAAAAAAGATAGGAAAGGGCATTTCATATTCATCAAAGAAAAATCCACCAAGATGTTAATAGTGGAAGACTTCTGCACCCCACTGCCACCACTGGACATGTCATTTAGATAGAAAATAAAACGAGAAATAAAGAAACTATTTAAAAAGTTTTGACTAAAATGGACCTAAGAGATATCCACAGAACATTTCACCCAAACACACACACACACACACACACACACACACACACACACACACACACACACACACACAAATACCTTCTCTTCAGCAATTCTTGAAACTTTATTCAAAATTGGCCATATATGGTCACCTGAGCAAGTATAAATAGGTACAAGAAAATTGAAATAATTCCATGTATCCTTTTTGGATTTTTGAGTCAGGGTTACTCTATGTAGTTTTGTAGACCAGGCAGGCCTTAAACTCACAGAGATCCACCTGCCTCTGCCTCTTGAGATTAAAGTCATGCACCACCACCACCTGGCAATCCCTGTATCTTATCAGACCACCATGGATTAAAGATAGATTTCAACAGCAACAGGAGCATCAGAAAGCCAGAAACTAATGGAAACTGAACAACTCATTACAGTATTTCCACTGAGTCAAGGAAGATCAAAGGAAAAAATTTAAGACTTTCTAAAATTCAGTAAAATTGAATGAAGAACATACCAAAATTGAAATCAGAAAATCTAAAGTAAATGGATAATTTCTTTCAGTATATACCACTTACCAAATGTAAATCAAGACCAGATGAACAAATTAAATAGACCTATAATCACCAAGGAAATAGAAGTAGTCATTAAAATCTTGCAGACAAATAAGTTCAGGGTCAGATGAATTTAGCTCAGAATTCTACCAGACATTCAAAGAAGAATACCAATACTCTTCAAATTATTCCCCAAAACAGAAACAGAAGGAACATACCCAAGTTCTTTTTGTGAGGTCACAGTCACCCCTATAGCCATACACACATAGCTTCAACAAAGAAAGAGAATTACAGACCAGTTTCCTTC